CAAACGAAAATTAAAAAAGAAAGAACCTGCAGCACTTTCCTAAAAAGGCAGTAGATTTGTTTAAATCTGGACTCGTCCAGCTTCATAGCCATGGTATATTCATGACACTGATGATGACCGTGGAGACGATGAAGAAAATGTCTTATCACATTCTAAAGAGGATAAAATTTGATTACAATTATCATAGCTTTTTTAAATGAAATTATTATATTACATTTTTATTATCTGTATCTTTAACGTGTGGAGGGTGGATTACCCTCACGGCACTTAGGCCTCATTAGGTCTATGACATTTCTATTATATTATAATATGTTAGTATTACAAAAGCAAATACATAGAGGGCTTAATAGAATATACATTTTTATTATATTATATTCTTAATAACTTTCTATTTTTTTTTTTAGCAAACAAATACTTTATAAGCCCTCTATGTATTTTCATTTGTAATACTAATACCTCTACAAAGCAATATTTAACTTACAAATTCATAAAGAGAGTCTGTGATTTATTGCCAACTTTGATGGCTTACTTCGCTCGCTTTCCTCTGTAGTAGTTAGGTTGTGGGTAGGAGGAGCGTAGCGTGATCTTATAGAGAAACTGTTGCCATGGAAACGCTTGTCGTGCTAACGACTAAACAAATCCCGTAGTGAGAAAATGCCTAATTGCCAAGTTACAGAAGGTTTTATTTTCACTTTAGTTTAAATTAGAACATTGTGTTAAGAGTTAAACTATACAGGGCCATTCTATATGGGCGGATCACTTGATTTATGGCTTAAATATGACTTGTATGATAATTTGACTAAAAGTTTTTGTACATTTTATGTACTTTTTATTGAAGTTTACAGATTTCCCATACGTAATGGTTTTCAAGATATGACGTCATCGGGAAATATTTTAAATGGATCACCCTGTATTTATATTTTTTTTCGTGTTTGTATGATCTGTCTGAATCCATCAATGGTACATTAAGTGGGTCCCAGACTTACGGTCTTATAATAACAATTAAATTAGATTATACTTTAATAAGACACATTTATTTAAAGTCTTATAACAACAATTAAATTAAATTATACTTTATTAAGACACATTTATTTAAAGCAGATGTTCAAACTGAAAGGCCTTGGCTGCCTGGCAATACCTTATCTATCAACAAATATCTTAAACTGTTTTGAATAGATTCAGGAGTTATATCTTGAGTGGCTGCTCTGATTCGATCTTTCAGTTCTTCCAGAGATTGTGGTAGATCCTTATAAACTACAGATTTAAAGTGACCCCGAAAAAAAAATCCAGTGAAGTTAAATCTGGTGACCTTGCCTGCCACTCAATATATCCTCTTCGGCCTATCCATATCTGCAGAAATATTGTGTTGAGGTATTCCCTAACCCTAAAATCGAAATGAGTTGGGGCGCTATATTGCTAAAACCACATTTCCTCTGACAATTGTAAATGATTAGCACGATTGGGAAATATGTGGATTAATTCTTGAACTATTTGTTCTTGCAGAAGTTGTAAATAGCGATTACCATTTAAAGTTTGTCTCAGAAAAAAAGGTCTAATTATTCTTCCTCCAACTATACCAGCCCAAACGTTTAGCTTTTGTGGATATTGTGTGTGACCTTCTATCATCCAGTGTGGATTCTGATCAGACCAATACCGGCAATTATGCCGATTGACAAATCCGTTTAGACAAAACGTTAATTCGTCGGAAAACACAAAATAAATATATTTGTATTTACTGTGATTTGACGTTAAGATTTTTTGTTAATAGATCATGATATTGCCAGGAAACAAAAAAAAAATATATAAATACAGGGTGATCCATTTAAAATACTTAAAATGTGCCTTATTAAAGTATAATCTAATTTAATTGTTATTGGTAAGACCGTAAGTCTGGGACCCACTTAATGTACCATTGATGAAATCAGACAGATCATACGAACTGTTTAGTCGACATCACGACATCTCCATAGCGGATTTTAGCTAAACTAAAGTGAAAATTAAATGACCTGTAACTTCCCAACTGTGCATTTTCTTACCACATGATTTGGGTTTTTGTTTAGTCGTTACCATGACAAGTGTCTCTGTGGCAACAGTTTCTCCGTAACTGATTACAGTTAAATTAAATCATCTGTAACTTGGCAACCACGCATTTCCTTACCATGTGATTTGGCTTTTTGTTTAGTGGTTACTATGTCAAGCGTTCCCATGGCAAAAGTTTTACCATTTCGTCTAAACTAAAGTGAACATTAAATATTCTATAACTTGGCAACTATGCATTTCCTCACCACAAGATTTGGGTTTTTGTTTACTTGTTTCCATGCCAGCGGTTGTCATGGCAATAATTCTTACGTAATTGATTTTGGCTAAACGAAATTTGACCCGTCGATATTTATGCAACCTTTGTTATCGGGTTTTAAAATTTTCCGCTGTGTTATGTAATATCGATGAAAGCGCTACAAAGTGGGTCGTGGCAACTGCGTTAAAGCTGGTCGTTGTAAAGCATTGGCTTCTTATGAGCGTTTCCTATCTTTATCTCCCTTATCTCTGTCGTGAAATACATAGGTTAAGGTCCGTTTGTTATGAGATGTAAATGGATGGCGTGGGTATGTCCAAGTCGAAGTCTCGTCCTAATTATTTGATGAAATCGATTAGTAGATGGTTTAACACAGTTTCCATATTTAATTCCAGAGTTCCATTGTCTTAAGTTTAAAAAAACGCTTGATGTTTGATCATTAACAGCCTCTATTGCTAGCTTGTCAGCCAGTTTATTACCTGTTATTCCTGTATAAGAAGAAACCCAAAGAAAGACTATCTCTTTATTTCCAAGTTTCTAAATTTCCTCTTTAATAAGCTGTACTATAGGATTTTGAGTATATATTTTAGTTACAATATGGATTGAATTAATTGAATCCGTTTTGATTATAAACTTGTTTGCTTCTCTTGCATAACACAGTGCTTTGTATAAGGCGTATAGCTCTCCGGTAAGAATGCTACTTCTCGTAGGTAGTTTGAACTTTCGAATGATGTTATCATTCTGTCACAAATTCGGATGCCACACTATCGATAGATTTAGATGCATCAGTAAAAATTTGTTGATGTATTGGAAGATGATTTGGCGAAAAATTTTTTAGATTAATCGTGGATTTGTTTCTTTTTTATTATGAGAACTTAATTGTTTCATATGAAATTGGTAAGCGTGTTAGTAAAGGGGATGATTTGTGAGTATGTGTGTGTAGATGAATGGATACGAGAAAGCGCCTTACCCTTTCATAAAAACAAAAAGGAATGTGTGATTTTGTATTTCAAATAATGCTAGAGGGATGTTATTGAAAGGAGCAAGAAGGATGTTTTGCGGCATAGAATAAACTTAATTGACATGTTCTTAAATTTAGTGGTATGACTCCAAGTTCACATTGAAGACCATCAATAGGAGTTGTTCTGAAGGCTCCAGAAATTATACGAAGAAAATTCTTCTGAATTGTATTTAAAAATTTTAATTTTTTTTAACGGTGCTGATGGGTATACCATGAAACCGTAGCCAATTTTGGAGGGAATTAAAGATTTATATACAGTTAATAAAGTTCTTTCGTCAGCTCCCCATCATTGTTTGGATAATCATTAAAGTGGGTTCAACCTTTTTTAACACGTTAAGTCAAACTCTGATTAAATATGAGTCCTGGGTATTTATTTTATATGTACTTTGAAGGATAATTTCCAAGTTTTAAAACTGGTAAGTTTTGTAGCTGGTTTGGTCTCTTTGAGAAGACCATACATTGTGTTTTGTGTGTTTAATATGCTCCACGTAACCAATTTATCGAGTTGTTAAACGACTTCAAAAAAGGAGGAGGTTCTTAATTCGTTGGTATATTTGCTAGTAGAAGTTTTGCCATAATATCAACCTATTTTCGTTTTGCTTGGAATAATAAGATCATCTGCTAATAATCCAGCTTTTATAGGTTTTTGGAGCGTATTAAGTATATCATTTTTACCAAATAAAAATAACGTAGCACTAATGACGGATCTTTGTGGTGTCCCGTTTTTTTGGATTTTGGCGTTGGATAAATTTCCGTTAGTTTTAACTTGTTTAAAGTTGAAGGTGGTAGCCATGTGTGAGTTATAAGTTCAAAAAGGTAAATCAAACGAGGGTGGTCCTTAGGATCTCACAAGAGATTTACTCTTGTGAGATCCTAAGGACCACCCTCGTTTGATTTACCTTTTTGAGTTTTAACTTGAGTGAGAACACAATAAATATTAGCCAAAAAAATATAACACTATGTTTAATAAACTTCTGAACAACGTGTTTACATAGTGTTTTCAACTCATGTTAAATTCTCTAAAGTTTTTAAAAGAACATAGACATATTTAAGGTATGTGACACTATGTTAAAACATATAAATTTTGGATAATTGAATGTCTAACTATTTCTTGTCGAAATATATGTAATTATGGATCCCAAAATGTACCTATCAAAACAACATTTGTAATCCTGCTTTACTGAAAAGTTGACTAGAATTACATAGTGCAGTTTACTTCCGAGATACAGAATTATGAACTTTATTCTCAAGAAATCACAAAGAAAATTCCTTAAGCTTCGTCAACTAAATTGAAGTTATCAGAATGGTTACGAAGTAGAAGAATATACTATACAAATCTTGTAATTTAGTGTCATTGCTTTCATACTGTAGCTGTAAATTATTCAGCTGTAAAATTAAAAAAAAAAAAAATATGTTTTGGTGAATTTTCGTTAAAAAGTATTGAAGCCATCCAATACAACAAATAACAATAATATTTATTAAATACAACTTTTAGTATCGGGACTAACAAGTTCACTTATTCAAAACATTATTTGTTTCCATTAAACCGTCGAAAAACGGTAGAGAAATTTTCAGAACGTCATAAAAAAGTATTGAAGCCATACAATACAACAAATAACAATATTTGTTGAATACAACTTTTTATACAACAATTTCACTTATTCAAAAAATTTAGACGTTACTTACGATTGAGTTCACTTAGAGATAGTTCCAAACCACCATAATCTTTAGGTAAAACTTTTAGAGAAATTATATCTGCCAGGGTGTCAACTCCTTCGTGAACATATGTCTAAAAAAGAACCAATAAGTAAGTAATATGTTTATTTTATTTAAAAAAAAACTTGAAGGATGACATTCAAACTTACCCTTTGTGCTAATTTTGGTTTCATTAGTTGCTTAAGTAGGTTAATAGAGTTCACGGCAATAGGTGGACAATTTACAAAATGGAACTGCCTCATTTTGTTGGAAAAGACTTTCTGAAATTTAAAAAATGCTGTTAATTAGGATATTTTATAAAATCAGAACACTATTTTTTTCAATTTATGAAGTCATTTATTATTTATCTAAATGTGCAATAAAATAAGGTACTACTTACTTCTAGAATGGTAACCATTTTCTTTAAATGGAATGGAGACACCTTAAATATATGCGAAAGTCTGATATTTATAAAATCGATAATGAAAACATCTTCAAATATTATATCTTCTTGTAACCTCACTTCCATGCAATTAAAACCGTATGCCAAACATGTATAAAAGTCGAAGTTTTCGGTATTTGTGCTAAGGATTTTTGCCACCGATACTCTGTATCCCTCTTCAGTCCGTCTTGGTAGTGGGAAGAAATATCTAAAATACAATAAAAGGTACATTTTCTAACATGTTTATGAAATGAAATGAAAGTGCCGAGTTAAACATTGAAAATAGGTCTTAAAATGTATAAGGAATTAAACAAGTAATTGAATTCAAATAATTTTTAAAAATCATTGGAAATAAAATAAGTAAATGTAATAAATACGGTCATATAAACTGGCGCGATATAAAATAGGACTGATTTTTATGCAACAAATGTCAATTCCCTTTAACTGTCTTCCAGTCTAGATGACGCGTTGTTTATACACCTTGTTGATATAATATTAGAAAATACTACAAAACTTATGTCATAAGGAAATTGTTTTGATGCCTATAACAACCCTTCCAATCATATCTTCTTGAGGTAATGTAAGATTTGGAGTAACTTTAAGTAAGGTAGATTGTCCTCTTCTATTTGGTATCCTAAGGATAGTGCCCTTGGATTCTAGAGTGCTACATATTCAGTCAGAATATGAATATAGGTTTCATCATATTCCTAATAGAATCTGTCTCACTATCCTCTACTACTCTCAGTTTATTACAGTCGGCAATGCTCGGTAATGCTTGTTTTTGTTCAGTCCGATACAGGGTTACGATCTTTTTGGGTTAAATTTACCCAGATGTATCTTAGCCTATCTTAGCCCTAAGAGACTGTTTCAGTTACTAATTCCTTTACTGTCCAATTTTATTCTCTCCTAATATTGTGTTATTGCTGATACCGCAGAATGGCATGAGTTCCCCTAAGGGTGTTTTTTTTTTGAGAAATCAGAGGTAAGGAAAAAGCTAGTTCTATTAAAAATATACTCTAAATTTTAACTGAAAGTTCTCCTCCCTACATTTGGTAGTAACTAGTAGTACTTAGTGAGAAATAGAAATAAAAATATTTATAGTTAAGTTGCAGTTTCAAAGGATACAGTGATTAATGTCACAATCTGTGGATGAAAATATTAAATTGAATTATTAAAAATAAAAGAACAACTTCCGGTAGCAATCTTTTATTTTTAGTAATTAGTTATGTCGAGGATTTGCTAACAACTCACCATTTCATACGTATAAATGTTTAACGCACATAAATTTAGTCCTATATATAAATTAAAATATTCAAAATATAACCGATTGGCAATGAAAGTAATACAACGGTAAACAAAAACAATGTTTGACCGGCAACCCTGTAATTTATGGGGTATAGTTCCTGCTAGATAATCCAAAATGGCATGTGGAATTGACGAGATGTGAAAGAAATTCTTACCATTAATTTTAAGTAGTTGGATGAGTAAGTATTATTTAAAATAAAGTACTTACAAGTTCCCGAAGCACTGAGATTATTGTTAAGGTTATTCTGTGAAATATAAGAAGCAAAAACCCGCTTTTGGGGAGTTGCATATTTATATAAAATTAAAGCATATGCTTGTTCATATGGACGGTTGCTTTCCAAGAAAAGGAAGCAGAAAGAAAAAATTACAGGGTTGCCGTTTATTAAACTATTGTGCAAATCCTGCATATTTCTAGTGTTTGTGTCCTTCCCTACGAGACTCTTTGCAATCTGGCTACCCTTTATGCCGTTATGACCCGAGACTCAGCGAAAGTAACTATATTTTCCTTGCACAGCACTTTTGTTTAAAAAAAGTTTAACTTTACTTTTGATTTTTCAACGTTTAATAAAAGTTTACATACTTTGATTATTTTCATCTTCTGATTACCACTGCTGAGATATTTTTTTCCAAAGGATATTAGCCCAGCTTTGCAGCGAAAATAGAAAGAAAATAAATAAGAAAATATTAATAAGCCAGTTAAATTATATTATCAGAAAATGGATGTTCCAAAAACTCAAGATTGAAAATGTTTGGATAAACAAGTATTAAATCGTTAAAAGTTAAATAGCAACAGAAATTTGGAAGGATTGATTCAATTTGCAGCAGTATTTTTTTGGGATTTTGGAAGGCGGTAAATGTTTTTTAAATGATAAACAGTTTAAATATTAAGTACTTAATTTTTATAGGACAAATATTTATCAATTTACACTTTTAAGATATTTTCCAATTTTTGTCATTTTTCTCTTTCTCACTTTCAATTTTTCTTTGATATCCCTATTTAATAAACAGATTTTAAAATACACCCAAAACTGCTTTGCGCCGTGTTGAACTGGGTGTTGCCGAGTCGGGTAGTCTCCTAGTGACGTCAGGCGTGCGAGAAAGATGGGTTTATCTTCTCGAGTAATAGTATCATGATAGACCATCTTTGTAAACGACTGGCCGCAATTTGAGGTATACCTTTTTTATCCGAAAATATCAATCAAAGGCTTGTGATCAGTATAAAGAAAGAAATTATTTTAAAAAAGATAATCATGAAATTTCTTTATGCCAAATATTATATTTAAAGCCTCTTTATCTAACTGACTATAATTTTTTTCAGATTTACTTAATGTTTGCGACGCAAACGCGATCGATCTAAAGTCATTATTTGGATATATGTGAGCTAGATATGCTCCTACCCCTAAACAACTAGCGTCTGAAAACAAGGCCACAGTTTATAGCTTAAAAGAATCAGTTTGCTCACTCGGACTAATTGGATGTTCCAAAATAACATTCACTCCAGGGATACAAATGCAGGATGCGCAGAAGTCTGATGTTTGAATATAGGCGGTTGTCATATATTGTATTAGGCATTCGAAACAAATGAACTGCCAGTGGGAAGATTTGATATATCCAAGGGTTGCGACATACGATATATTCTGTTTACAATACGTAAAATCATGAATAATGGATTGATTAGATTTAAATATTTTATGTCAAACACAACAAAAATAAGATACATTTTTCATAAATTGGCAGGCTTTGTGACTATTATTTCGAATAAAAAAACACGTTCAAGATGCAAGACTATGTCTCTACCCCCTTAGATATAGTAGACTTTCTCACTGACAGCTATTGTTAAATGAATTTTTTTTAACCCCTTAGCTGCAACCCTACAATATTCTTATTATTATTATTATTTTTTTATTGTATACTAAAAAACAGTAATTAACTAAGCACGTGTTGTTACAAATCGACTACGGCTACTATACTGGTTTAACTACGTGTTATTGGCTGAAAGTGACTTTGCTACGTTTCTTATGACAAATTTGGAGGTTGCTGTTTCTGATACAAACTTACAACTTTGCTGAATTGTTTTAACGGCTTATTTTTGTTTTTGTTGCAAAATAAAATCTGATATTTTAATAAACAAATATTCCAAACCGGTACGACACAAAAAGCTTTAAGCGGAAAATTTGGAGTTTGCTGCGCCGGCGGGGTTTTTACATTTGTTAGAAATCTGGCCCTACCATCTCGTATTATCACGAGCCGCCACTGAGTCTAGTGCCTGTAAGTTGTCGAACCGCGTCACCATTGTTTTAACAAAAACTTTAGAAAGCATTTTTAAAATAATCATTTTTATTATCTTTCAATTTTCTATATCATAAGTTAACTGATTGCCATAAAGGACAAATATTTTTCAAGAAAAAAATGTAAAACCATCTTTTAAAAACAAATAAATCATTTTGGGTATATTATTTAACGTTTCTACAAAAATATTTAGAGAATTTCTTAACTTTAGAAATCGACAAGTAAACCCGTATGAAAGAGGTTCCAGTACCCCATAAACAATTTATACGTATAATGAAGAAAATACTTACATATCGTCAGCAACTTTTTTCATATGCGACAAATTCATGTTGGAATGTTCATAAATTTCTGGCATCAAATGTCGAATTGTGTAGTACATGTCCATTTTCTGCTTTGTTTGTTCAATGCTACATTTGTTTACCAGTAAAAAGTTCTTTATTAACGAGTCACCTGGAACGGAAATATAATTAACATTTTCAAGGTAAAAATATTTTAAATACATTTTTTCATCGCGTTTGATGACATATTTTTTGCAGATAATTACTATAGTAAGCTTAGTATAGTTGCTTTTTAAATCGGGCTATGAGATCAATCGTTGCTTATTCTGTGTAGTAATACTGACACTTTCAAAGTTCCATTTTTCGCAAAGAGCCCATCGAAAAATCCGTTATTTTTAAAAAATTAAACAAATGTATTTGTGAATTTTATATTTCAAATTTTAAGCAAAATATTTATTGCATTATAAAACAAAAGAAGAAGGCACAATCACAATAATTGTAATACATAAAAACAGGTCAGGCATAATTGAACCTAAATATGTATTAAATTCCAAATGCCAAAAATAATAAATAAACAAAAACTTGATAAAAAACATATTTACATTATGTAAATTATTAATTATTTAAGGACCAAAGAAGAGAACAAACGTTGGACAGAGAGGATAGGCAGCCAGTAATTGTAATCGTCAAAATCCACCAAGGGCAGTAGAAGAACCATAATTGTAACACTTTCTTAGAGCTAAGACAGGCTCTCGGAGTGAGTATCACATAGCAAAAGATGAAAAGCGTGTGTCTACCTGAACAAGAACAGTCTACATTTTTAAACAGCGATCCTTACCAGGCACTGCCGACTCAAAGGACACATTGGTAAACTGAGAGCATTCAAATATGGTGAGTAAAGATTCTATGAGAAAGAGAAGGAAACCTCAATTCACATACTAATTGAATCTTTAACACTTCAGAATACAAGGGCACTATAGTAAGAAGCACACCATAAGAAGAGGGTGATCTACCTAACTTGAAACCACTCCAAGTTCTAAACTTTCTTGAGAAGATAAAATTGGAAGGATCGTTTTTAGATTCGAGATTATTTTCTTACTGCATTAGTGACAGAAGGGGGCATAATAGATATTTATGGTCAGCGTATTAATACCCATACCTAATATTTCATAAAAGATGTAGTGACATGCGTGAAATAAGTTAATTTGGTGCTTCGTTTGGCTTAATCCAGTTTTAATTAAGTCATATATAAATTGCTTTTTGACAGGCATGGCATCATTGTATTTTCACCAGTTCTACTTATACTGTACTGTAACTAGTGTTATTTTATTTTAAGCATGGAAGTTCTAGCGTTTACCTATTTAATATGTTAGCTGAACTGCAATCTTTCTAAATATATTTTGTACGTTTACAAACCAACGTCGAGTAACCTTGATAGTAGTTTAAGGGTTAAAAATCAGCCTTAACTATTTTTTACTATAAAACTATTTTTATTTATCAGTACCTAAAGACCTTTTTCTTTCAACATTCAGTTCACAAAACACAAATAGTGTTTTCGAGGATGTTGAAAAAGAACTAGAATTGCTTTGTGGAGCGGACAGACAGAATGGCTTAACCCGGGAATTAACCATCGGATGGTAGAAGCCCGCCAAATAAAAACTTCCAAAAATAAGACATCTAGAGACACCTGCAGGACTTTGACCTGAAAGGATTTTTTTTTGTTTTTGTTTTCTTTTTGTATTTTTTTCTATTTTTAGAAGGTGGGAAATGCTATTTTACGTATGCCCTGACATTGTTCAGGGGTAGTATGGCACTCAAGATTCTACTACCCACTAAAGACCACTTTCTATATGGCCCAGATACCTCCTAGAAGACTACCTTAGCAATATAACGTCGTGGAAGACCGCCGTCTTTTTCAAGGTGTCTATTTTTTCCTAAGAACTTTAATAATAAAGCGATGTTCATTTCTCCATCCTTGCTCCGTCTGCGACACCGAAAAATGGTGTTCTCGGGATCGTCCACCTCTTCGTATCTGGGACCTTAGTAATCCTGTGCGTGTACGATCTAAAACATGCTCGCTGAGAAATTGGGTTATATTGTAATTTATCATCAATGCTGTCAGATCGGGTATAAGAGTCTTTATCCACTGGGCTACTCGTTTAAGTTCTGTCCATCTTCGCTTCCCTTTTCAACTTTTACTTCTCTCTTTCTCGCTACGTCTATCTTTGGCTTTCTGCCGTCTTTGTAGAGCCTGCTTCGCTCTTCTATTTGAATATCAAAAAGAGGGATACCATCGATGACCGATACGGCCTCTTCGGACACCGTCTTTTACGCACAGGACTCTCAGCAGCATCTTTCTTTGCGTACCAAGTAACATATTCTTGTATTTTTTTTTTATCTTGACTGCCCTTGCCTATACTAGTACGGCATATAAGACCACTGATGTAGCCACGCCAAAAAGCATTCTTCTATCTATTATTCTAGGGCCTTTTGTGTTCTGTAATAGTCCAGATAGGGCCCCTGTTTGTCTTTTAGCTTTCTCGCAAGTTTTTCTTACGAGTTTATTAAATTCAAGCTTGTTATTGAGCCACACGCCCAGATATTTTACGTGTTTGCCACCGTGTCTCCGATATTGAAAACGATAACCGTTCTCTTCCTTGGCCTCTTCACGATTATCTCCTCTATCTTCTTCGCTGCAAAATCTAGTCCCTAAGTTTTATTCCAGTGACTTGTGTGTTAGGGCCTTCTCCGCTTTTTCTATTAGGTGGTCTTTTCTGTCTGCTCGTACTATAAGCGCGAGGTCGTCTGCATATGTCACCGTAGAACATCCTTCAGGTATGTTAATCTCAAGGACATTGTTGTAAACCACGTTCGATAATAATGGGCCTAGCACTGATCCCTGTGAAACTCCTTGTTGCGCGATTTGTTATGTTCCTACTAAAAGTGATTGTCTCTGAAGTATTTCCCGGTCTTAATATCTATAAAGATCAGCACCTCCCAGATCCAATCAGGGCAAGTTGCCTCTCTGATATCGTGTTCCGTCGCTTGGATTATTGACTTCCCTTCTCTGAATTCTACCTGAGAAGTTGACTGTCCCTAGACACCCACATAGCAACAACTAGCATGTTTTGATACTTACAGGTTTTTTATGACCTGGGAGAATGGCTGCTAGATACCTCTCACTGACAATCAGCAGGTTTTTGGCAAGTTGATAACCTGCTGGACTTTATTGAGCTGAGAAATCGGTTGTCTCTAGACACTTTCCAGTGACAACCAGCTAGTTTATATGCCCATGACCCTAATGAGACTGAAGTAATGTAGAGCAACCCACTTTTCTCCATTTTACAGAAAGAGAGGATTGACGATTAAAGACACAAAAATCAAAATTCAAGCAACAACTTTCAAATACAGAACAATTTCCAAACTAATCCAACTTTTTCGAATACTTACTACCAGTTTCTGGAAGATGGTGTTGGGTCTTCAGCCAATCTTTCATTATCTGCATATCTTGGTTTAATTGTTTCTGGGTCCTTCCAAATTTTTTTAATGCCAATCTCAATGTTTCATCATTATTCCAAGACAACCACCTCTTTGTATCCATCGTTCCTGAAACAGAAACTTACTTTCAAAAACCTAATTTATTTATATTAAAAACAAAGCATTAAATTTAATTAAATGATATAATACAAATTTATAATATCACCTGTATTACGTTTTACTTTTGAATCGAAGAGACTTGTCAAATATTCGAAACTATAAACTATTTATTAAACTATTTACCCGAAATTGTTAATAACATTATAAAATAATTTTGTACGCCAATGTATCGCGTCCACTTTGCTTAGCTCCGCGGCAAAACTGTCAATTTATGTGCATAAAGTGGGAGATCTGCAAAAAATCTTCTGTCTCTGCTATACTACACATTAATAAGTGATTACCAAATCACACCTTTTCATGTTTATGATTAAGGTGAAAAGCAATTAAAAAATATTACATTAATAACCCATTTCTTTTTAATGGTTTACTATTTGTCAACATTTCACACCATTTTATTTATACAGGTGGTTTCATAATATATGCACAGGACTTCAGGACGTGATAGCTCGTCCAAAAATATGAAAGAACGTTAACTTACCCTCTAAAATGCGCCATTTTCGAGATATAGGGTGTTGAAATTGAAAAAAAAAAAATTCTATGTCACTGGAAAAATTACGGTTTTGAGACGCCCATTTGAACCGCCAATGTTTTCTACACGAAAAAGGTACTCCTTGACATACGCTCTAAAGTCGACCGTTTTCGAGAAAAATCAAATTTTGTTTCATCAAGTATGTATGACCATGTATTTCAACATTAAAATTTGATTTTTCTCGAAAACGGTCGACTTTAGAGCGTGTGACCAAGAGTACCTTTTTTGTGTAGAAAACATTGTCGGTTCAAATGGGCGTCTCAAAACCGTACTTTTTCCAGTGGGGTAAAATTTTTTTTTTTTCAATTTTAACACCCTGTATCTCGAAAATGGTGCATTTTAGAGGGTAAGTTAATAAAAAGATTTTTTAATATTTTTGGACGAGCTATCACGTCCTGAAGTCCTGCGCATATATTATGAAACACCCTGTATATTTTGTAATAATTGAATTACACATATTTCATTTTTACATTTAAATAAATTAGTTATAAAGCTAAATAACATCGTCTTTAAGTTTTGAGGTTAATTAATTCAATTTCGGAAAAAATGTCACTATTTTATTTACCCTAGCAGAAATATACATCTACTCAGTTAACTTAATCAGATCAAGCTAAACTATAAATACATTGCTTTTTATATATAAAAAAGCACGAGGGGTCTAATATCTAAGCATAAGAAGGGACATATTGGTTTGTATGTTCATATTAATAACATTTTTAGTCGTGTAATTATTATAAAACAAGATAATAAAATAAATTAACCTCTTTTTGAGACTAAATTCAAACAAAGCCAAAATCCACCTATATGGTTTGAATTAAGGTGTGTTTTACAACGAGTGGCGCATGCGCACCAGACGGAATCTACTTTGATATTTAATGTCTCGTCTTTTATACAGGGACAAACAAAATAAAATTGACACAATTTTGTTTTATTATAAATGTCCCAAGTAAAGAGGCATTTACGATTATTACAATCTAATCATTAGGATCAATTACAAAATTTATTTTAACTTAAATTATCTAGGGATGACACTAATGAGATAATAAATCAGGTCACATAAAGTAACTGTTCTCTCGATTAAATTTTAGTTTTTTCTGCATACTTTTATGACGTTTACATACCATATTGTTCCCTTAACGTAAAAGACTTTAATTTAGGATTTTTCACCTTTCAACTTAAAAAAAAATTGTCAATAAGGCGTCAACAATGTCTCATCGTAAGTGTAACAATGCGTTTTTTTAATTTATTTTTATTATTTTATTTGTCTGTATTATTTTTCTTCTGATTTGTTTAAAAATTTCTTATATTTTATTTTACCATTTATGTTAATTACACAACACTGCTGTTAAAAGTAAAAATTTTATACAATCTGTTAGCACTTACAACACTAGTTACATTATGCGCATATACGACTAGGCCTATGTCATACCTACTAACATTATTGACAGCTGAAATTGACAAAGTTTTTCAACCTGTAATTGTAAAGACCTCTAAACTAAAAAGTATTTTTTACGTTATTGGAACACATGGTATTTAAACGGCAAAAAGTAGTGTAACGATATGTCTTTCATACTGTTATTTTTATTTTTTGAGGTTATTTTTTTATGTGTCGAATGTTTTGAATATATTAGTTTCTGTAAAATAAATATATTTTATTTTTATTATTCAAAACGTTGATCTCATCCGTCCTATCTATCCGATTATCCATTGAAATGTCGAACTAATTTAGCGATGCTAATATAAATGTTTTTTTTATGGTTTAATTTGAAGAATGATTGATAGTTTTTTGATTTGAAGAATAACTAAGGATTATTACCTGATTATATGAAGCAGATTTGCTGATTTAATGAAGTATTAACGTCTTGATGACATAAGAAGTACCATAGAAGATCTTCCATCGTAGATGAGACCTATTGAACCCCCTTAAAGAAGCCCTACTTTGTTGAGATAAGTCCTTTATTTTTTTTTTACTGGACACTAAGCAAAAATAGATGAATTTAAAAGTTATTTAATTATTAGAGACTCTTGTAGATTATAATTTGGTTTTCCTTTATCTACTGAAGGCATATCCTTTATTTCTCATTTAAATTTAATAGTAATTTTTGTTTCCGTATTTTCAATAATTACTTTATACGTAGAGATATACAGATTTAAATACGGTGGCGTTCAGTTTCTAATTACAGACTGATTGAGGTATTAAGTGGCCCCATCCACGACCCTTAGTAAGCTTGACACCGTCGTCACAGTAAAAAAAAACACAAAGTGAACGAAAGAAACAACTTCGTTATGTGATCCAATTTTTTATGTCATTAGTGTTAATTTTATTTTATTAGGTTGATTAGATTGACCTTGTATAGAGAAGTCCTCTACTGACACAACCTTTTTTATAAAAACTTGCCTCTTCTCCAAAAATCACACTTTTCTTGTGACCATTTATAAAAACTTACTCTTTATTTAAAATTCTTATCAGGTGTGTCAATTACAAAAAAAAAATGAGAAAAAAATGAGAAAAAATGAGAATAAAATAAGACAAAAATGGATTTAAGTTTGGTCTCAATCTGTACATAAGAAGCTGGGCTGAAATATAATCGGCCTAGGCAAGAAAACACAAGTTTTTTTGCCAAAACTCAATTTATTTCTCAACATAGTCCCCTTTAAGCTCTATACACTTTGTCCAACGATTCTCCAATTTTTCGATGCCCTTCAAATAATACTATTTCTCGAAGTCCTTAAAATAGGCCTCTGTCGCAGCGATGACCTTCCCATTCGACTCAAATCTCTTACCACCGAGCCATTTTGTCAAGTCTGGAAATAGATAATAATCGATGTGCGCCAAATCTGGGGCGCATGGCGGATGAGGAACCAATACGTAACGTAATTCATACAGTTTTGCCATTGCGACTGCACATTTGTGGGCCGGTGCGTTGTCCTGTGGAAGAGCACTTTCTTCTTCGATAAATGCGGTCGTATTTACTTCAAATCGTCGTCGAATCAGTCCAACAGCTTTAAGTAAAAATGGTTGGTGACGGTTTTGCCCTTTTTGAGGTAATCGATATGAATAATACCGTGCGCATCCCAAAAAACTGTGGCCATGACCTTGCTGGCAGACAGACCCACCTTGGCTTTCTTTGGCTTTGACTCGCCCTGAGAAACCCACTGCTTTGACTGTTTCTTCGTCTCTGGCGTATTGTGATGAATCCATATTTCATCCACGGTTACAAAACGGCGCAAAAAGTCCTTTTTATTGTGGTTAAACTTTGCCAAACACTTTTTTGAAGATGCCACATGGTTTCGCTTGTTGTCGGCATTGAGCAAACGCCGCACCCATCTGGCAGCGAGCTTCGTCATTCCCAAATATCGTGCAATATATTCTCAACTCGTTCACGTGAGATGCCCATAGCCTCAGCAATCTCACACACTCTTACCCGTCGATCGTCAATTACCATACCATGGATTTTATCGACCACTTCTGGTGTGGTGACCTCTCTTGAACGGCCTGGACGCTCATCATCAAAAATTATCGTACGACCGCGTTTAAATTCGGCAGTCTAATATTTTATTGTTGATAACGAAGGTGCAGAGTCCCTAAACACATCATCCAGTTCGATTTTGATCTCATCGTTCGTTTTCTTTTTTAAAAACAAAAATCTAATCACTGCGCGATATTCGATTTTATTCATTTTTGTAAAAATGCAAAATCTGTTTGCCTTCAATCACTGTCAAGTACAAACTAAGTGATGCAGCTCGCTAAAAATTTGACAGAAGTCATGGTGGAAGAATACAGGTGAAGCGGTAAGCGGTACGAAATTTGGTCATTCTTGTGCATGACGTCACCTTCGGAGCATATTTTTGTTTTGCCTATGTCTCCAATGTTAAAAAGCGACTTTTAAAGTTATTCTAATATTTTCCTGGTAGTGTTTAGAAGTTTATAGATATATTTATCTTAATATTTAATATCATTTCTATATATCAATAGGCCTGTTTAGAAATTATTGGTACGTATTATTAAATTAATTTCTAATTAAGTTGGTAGTGTAATTGATATAAAGTTAGGTTATGTAATATTTTTGTTGTATTTTAAAGATAAAAAAAATAGTTTCTATTCATTATTGTTATTTTAATATATCATTATTATTATTATATTATTGGTACATTAAAATCTACTATATTTTAGGGTGTGTAGTTACTAACAAAATGCCAGGTTGTGCAGTGTTTGGCAGCAAGAACTATTCAAGAAAAACAAAGGGAACAAATATTAAGTATTTTATATTTCCGAAAACAGATATAGCCAAAGCGTGGGTCAACGGTTGCGGGTGAAAAGATACAATTAATTTGAAAAATGGTATGATTTTTGCAAACCTAATTTGAATATGATTCATTTTATGTCTTGTTTCTTTTTTAAGCTTGTATTTGTTCCATA